CAACAACAACATTAACAACAACGTCAACAACCACATCAACAACAACAATGCAAGGTTAGTAATATATTGAACGAGTTGTAAATGCTAAACGATAAATGTCACAAGTAACCAAATCTTAAACTTTTGATTTTAACTGTTCGGTGTTCCTTATGTAGATGCTAAACATCCGAGAACTTTATATGAAGACTAGGAATAGGATGACTTTTTGATGACTTGATTTCATCTACACTTAATCAAGTATTGAATATGGTAGTCAATTTCGACGATATTATACGAATATATTGTTGATAAAATGATTCTCACATACTAGAACTCGATAATCAATTTAGTAACTCCTCATTACACTGGAAAAGGTTAATAGTGACAGATATCAAGACTCAATAAAGTCACATACCATCCTTGCTTGCAAATATAGTATAGAAGATAATTACAATTATCTATCGAAACAAAAAGAGATGTGCTTTCTATCTGATTCCAACTTTATGAATATTATCATGCATCAACCAGATCATTTAAGGCATGAAATATTTACTGAGCAATTTCGAAGACTTATGTTAAGTGTTACTTGTAGCTATTACTATTAGCATACTGTCAACACTAGTATATTATAGTAACATCATTATCAATTAAAACAAACGACAGTTCACTAACTATTTCATGTCAGTGATCAGTTTTATTTAATCTGAAGGAATACTCTGTTGTTGTTCATTACTCATATGAAAATTATACAAAACTCACATACTAAATGCTCCTAACTGATAACACTTGCCAGATAGATAATGTGTAAATAAACTCTAGAAGCATTTAGTTAAGATTGTGTGAGAAAAGAAGTGAAATCAAGTAAAATTTACTTTCACAATGAAAAAAGCATGTTTTGATCTATATTTATTTAAGATATAGTTAATTTTAATCTGATTTATCGGTATGATTTTATACGTAGAAGCACCAATTGATATGAAATTCTCATGAGACATGCCTATGAACACCTAATCTCATACTTTAGGTGATATTTATATAGAATCAAGGTGTTCAAAAAAAAATTGTACTTGGACAAAATATTAACTTCACACTCGAGAAACACATCTTTCATAAACATTTGCTATTGACCCTTGTTACACGGCCTTTTTCAATGCGAACGATGTGAGTATCATACTCTCTCACCCGCAGTCATCTTCCTTCTGCCACATATGTACATCATGAACTTGAAATAGCGAGAGTAACTCTCGTTTCCACGATGTTAAACATTGTAGAATGAGCTTCGATTAAATTTTATATAATATATTTCTCAGGGATTTGCTAAAATTAAAGGATCTGTGACATCCTTATTACTTTAAATCAAAGCTTCCTAATGAATCTTAGTTTATGTGTGAAAACAAATAAAAGTTTAGTGAGGGCTTAAAATGATTTAGTCTACGATCAATAGATGATCACATATACATGAAGAATTTGAGTTTATTCTAATAACAATATTTCCTTCTCATTTGTCTACCTTATCTAGGATGGACAATCACAGGAAGCATGAATGTCGCACGAAGCGGTTATACAGCATCCATATTAGCAAATGGAAAAGTATTAGTTGCTGGTTCATATACTGGTGGTAGTTGTTCTAATAGTGCTGAATTATATGATTCATCAACGGGAACTTGGACATTTACAGGAAGCTTCAGTGTTGCACGAGGAATTCACGCAGCATCGGTATTAACAAATGGAAATGTACTGATTATTGGTGGAACTATTAATGGTGGTACGGCTTCTACCAATAGTGTTGAAGTGTATAATCCATCAACAGGCACTTGGTCATCTACAGGAAATATGAATGCCCTACGATATGGTCCCACAGTATCCATATTAGCAAATGGAAACGTTTTAGTTGCTGGTGGATATGGTAGTTCTAGTTATCTCACTAGTGCTGAATTGTATAATCCATCAACAAGCACTTGGACATATACAGGAAACATGAACACCGCGCGAGTGTATCACACAGCATCCGTATTAGTAAATGGAAAAATATTAGTTGCTGGTGGAATAAGTAATGGTCAGTGTATTTTGACTATTGAATTATATGATCCGTCAACAGGCACTTGGGCATCTACAGGATATATGAATACCGCACGATATGGTCCCACAGCATCAGTATTAGCAAATGGAAAAGTATTGGTTACTGGTGGGACGGACTGTGCTGGTAATTATTTTAATAGTGCTGAATTGTATAATCCATCAACAGGCACTTGGTCATACACAGGAAACATGAATGTCGCACGAGGCGGTCATGCAGCATCCGTATTAGCAAATGGAAACGTGTTAGTTACTGGTGGATCGAATGGTACTGCCAGTGCCAGTAGTGCTGAATTATATAACTCGTCAGCAGGTACTTGGACAATCATAGCAAACATGAATGTCGCACGAAACGGTCACACAGCATCCGTATTAGCAAATGGAAAAGTATTGGTTAATGGTGGATATAGTGGTTCTACTTATCTCAGTAGTGCTGAGTTTTATTGATCGATATCGACAAGACGATATTTGTTTATGTGAACTGAATTATAATTTTTTTTTGTTGTAATCAAACTATTTAACCATGCACGCTTCTAATAAACTATCATTCACCAAATAATATATGACTTTCACTCGTGTGACAAATTCAAATCGCATAGCAGTTGCCAAGAAAGAAACAGTGATAAAAGATAAATTATTATTTATACAACTGAATGCACATTTTGCTTGGAGAAGAACGCTAGTTATAGATATAGCTGAGACGAATTTGAAACATTTCTTGTTATCATTCACATTTACTCCGTTGAGAACGAGTTCAATTGCAATAATAATTTTTGATATCATGTGATAACTATCATGCAGTGAGTATTATAAATGAATGATTAAATAAGATACTCAAATAAATCAATATTTTCCCATCATCAGGAAGATGTGGGTGAGTGTCAGATTCTTCTTTTTACCCTCGCTCTTACACCCACACCTTCAAGAGACGGTTGAAAATCTATTAAACATCTTAGTATTTATTCGTTGGAAATCATTACGTCAAATGTCAAATTCCGTTTTCTTACTTGCATCATTTATTGGTAGTTTAGTACAACTGTGGACAGTTCGATTTTCTCTTACTGTACTTAATCTTACAGGTATTGATCTATTAAAAAATTCTTTATTTTCTTGTGAAATTCGGTGATTATTTGGACGTATGAGTTCAAGTATAACAATGACAAGTATTTTTTGGTAAGTATCGATCGTTATTTAGTTACCTCACGCAATGTACGCTACCGTTATGCATTTAATATGAGACGAGTTCGTCTCATGGTCATTATTCTAACTCTAATCTTCTTATTTCCACTCATTCCTGATATAATCTATTATTGGACACCAAATTGCACATCACTGGGAGCACCTTATGGATACAGACAGTACACAATCTTCATACTACGGGACTTGTTCAAAATACTCGACTTGAAATGCAAATTAATCGAATGATATTATCTGAACTTATTATGGTATGTTTTAATTCAATTCCCAATATTATTACAAACATATATTCATTGGCAACTACAACAATGGTAAAATCTGATCTAAGAACAGCGCAAGATAATCTTTGGTTGAATATCTTTGCTATTTTAACTATTTCAACATATTATGCTGTATCATCTTCTTATCGAAAAAAGATTCAATCAATTCTATATTGTAAGCCAGAGAATTGAATAAAACCACAAGTAAATGCACGACAAAATAATACTATGTATCGTTCCAGAATGGTTACGTAAAATACCTAATTTCTCAATCGTGTAATAAAAGAAGAAAAAATATTTTCAACCTTTAAGGAATATACTTAGGACATAATAAAAGTAATGACGTTAGCGTCTTATTTGAAAGAATAAAAAAAGCTTTATTGTTCTCGAGCTACTTTGTGTGCGATGATTTTCATGAAAAAATTATTTTTAAATGGTATTAAAGAATTCTTAATTTATTGTTCTTGTTAATATATGTTAAAAATGAATATTATACTTTTGTCTTAATTGATTTAGTAATGTTCTATTGTATGGACAAGTAACATTTTTTCCATAATCAATGATGCCTTCCTTTGACCATGCTCTAGTTTCATAAATAATCGTTTCAGGCCATGTAACAAAACACCAAAAATTACTCATTTGCCATCTCTCTGTAACTGTCATACAGAAATTTCTATCTATTTCACACATTTCAGTAAATAGTTGTCCATCTGGTGCTAGATTATCTTTTGAATTGACTGGCAATGCAAATCCATCTATAATAAGTTGTGCTGCTTTTCTAATAAGTTTGATAACTATATCTCTTTTAATACCTTTTGGTCTTTCATTAATTGGATAATAAAGTCCTTTAATATACGATGTACCAGCAGTCATATGTTGTTCCATAAATGATGTATATTTCTCGAGTGTAGTAGTGTCAGAATTCTTTTGAATTAACCCACCCAAATTAATATTAACTGATCCATCGGAAAGAAAAGTTTGATACATTTGTCCTGTACCTGGTCCTGTAATATGAATATCAATATTTTTTAATAATTGTAAATGCATTGTCATTTTGTCAATATTCTTGGCAAAGTTACAATGAAGACGAGCATTATTTTCAGTTGATATCTGAGAATAACTGACATATGAGACGTAAACAAGTGGCCAATCTAATTTTGTGTGATTTCGATGAGTATCAGTATACATATTAATTTCATCAATTGCAGCACCGATTTCAATCCTATCTCGAGTAGTAAATCGTTTATTATTAATAAAAACAGCGTTAAGTGGTGTCATTGGATGACGTCGTTCAGCAGAATGATTATGTCTTGTAATTGGTGGTATAAGTCCATGTTGTTTATACATACGATCTCGAAAAAGACGTGATCCATTAAGTTCAATACCACCTGGCAATTGTAGATTTGGTTGAAGACATCGTTGACACATATCTCCACTTCCAATAATTATTTCTTCAAAAGCAAACCATTTCCCAATTGACATATCTTCTAAAAGCGTAAGATTCATTGTATCAATTCCAGCAAAACGATTATATACACTATCACTAAATGAATGATTATCATTAATACCAGTAGTACCAAGTAATATACGAAATGGTTGAAGGTGTCTAGGTGAGAAGCGAATAAGAGCTACATATGCAGGATATAATCCATCAAAAAGTGCATGTCCAATATTCATAAGCCATAATTGTTCGAAATGAACTGTTAAATGTGGAATAACAATGGGATTAACATTAATTCGAATAAATTCATCAAGATCAGCATAAGTATAAAATCGACGACGATTAAAAGTAACATATGATCCAACCATAGCTCCAATACGTACATTTGGTAATGGAATAGATAATTTTTTTGTTGTTAAAATCCAAAATGTTCTATTAATATAATATAAATTTTTGTAAAGACATGATTGATTTTTAACATGACCAACACACATTATATTCGTTTCAAAATTTTTATTTACTTGCAGAAGTCGTTTATATGTTTGAAACATCATATTTTTAGCAGAGAAATAATTCATTGAATATAATGACCAAATTTCTCCTTCAGTATTCTCTTGTAAACTTCTAATACTAATAATCATCATTACAAGTAAACCAAATATAATTAATAAAATAAATAGTTTTTTGTATTTAATTGGCATGTTCTTAGCTCAATATATTTATATACGAAGTTTAATTCACAATATAATCATTTAAAATCGATATACCAATGTCATTTAAGATTTATTCATTGAGTTTTATATGGTTTGAAAACAACGTTGAAGTAATCGTTACGTTTTTTTTCGTCTTGAAGGATAAATAACCAACCATGTGAAGAAAAAAAATTATGTACATTGCTGCATGTATGAAATATTTGTATAAAAAAAAAGAGAGAAAGCAACAAAAGACGAAAAAATTGATTTTGTTCTCTTTTCGAGTTTTGGAAGTTTTTGATTGCCATCAGACGATATTTATCGTTAAAACATTTCGTATTGGTTTGTATTCAATGACCAATAATGTGTTTACTAGAATTATTCTTCCTATTTCGTAAGAAGTAACAATATTAGTATATGAATGTTATCGTCAATTACTTATCGTCCTGTTATCAAAAGTGAGCAATCAAAAGCAATTGAACTTTGGCAAACAGTATTTGAACCAAAAGAGGATGGTTATTTTGAACGTTATTTTCTATCTACAGCTTCACCATCTTATCAAGAAGGAGATACTTTAGGAGCTTGGTCAGATAATAATCTATTAGTAAGTGTTGTACATATTCGACGAATGATATTAAAATCCGCAACGAATGAAACATTTCTTTGTGGTGTTATTTCTAATGTAGTTACTCATGTAGAATTTCGAAATCAAGGTTTATCACGACAATTACTTATGCAAGCAATTGAGAAAATGAAACAAGAGAATTTTGATTTATCTATGTTAGGAACTGGACGTTCTCAGCATTATTTACCATTAGGATGGAAACCTATTAAACATCGAATTGAATATGTTATTAATACACCCAATGATAATTCGTCTATCAATTATGAAGGATCATGGATATCAGCTTCTTCTTTCTCTTCTTATGATCAATTATTTGAAATCTATTCTATTAATCCTCGTTCTTATCAATTTGATCGATGTTCTCCTTTAACATTCGAACATTGGATTGGTTGGCATTGGCAACAAGATTTCGCCTATATTTATATATTACCAAATCGAACAGGTTATGTAGTTATCAATCAAAAAGATGGAAAAGGATGTGATCCATGTATAGCAGAATGGAGAGCTATTGATATTGATAGTGAAACAATATTACTTAAAATAGCTGCTACAGAAATTCGCCGACGATATCGTCGTAATACGTTTCTCCTACACACATTTCCTCAATATACAACTCTGAAATTGTTAGAATGGGATAATAAGAATTTACTTTTCGAACAAAATGAAGATATTATGATTCAAAATATACGGTTGCCAGATGATACATTCCGAACGATTACAGCAGCTTTTGAAGCAGAAGATGGAAAAGCTACTATTTGGCCAGGAGAATATTTCTAATTAAATATTATTGTCCTTTTTCAATCTCTTAGTAACTGAAAAGAATGATATACTACAGATAATAACCATCGTTTTTTTTTAATTTATTTATATATTGATGAAATATAAAGTGTTTATCGTAATTCTGATTAAATATAGTTTGCTTTCAATTGATCGTACACATTTTCTACATTCGCATTATCATTGCAAAAGTTTTTCTATTGTTCAATAAAAAGATATAGATGAATGGGTATGGATGTGATTGTTCACTATATCTATGTGACAGTCTATTAGGAAATTTAGTTGAGTTCGGAATGCTATAAATAAAGAAACTATTTCTATATTTTTAATTTAAAGAAAAACAGAATTCAGAATAGTTTATGGTTGTAGATTGAATCTAATATATGAAAAATACTTTCTTTGCTAATAACAAAGCAAAATGTTGACTATTTGAAAAGATTTCATCGATTTAAGAAAAAATGTTTTTCTCTAAAACTCGATTGAGATTTTTTTACCACGGGAACATGTGGAGCATTCAGCGATTGGTTATTTTTTTGATAGAAATGGCAGAATTGTTTACATTAAATTAATTTATTACCAAAGATATAAAGATTTTGTATGATCTGTTCAGGTGTAATAGACAGAGATTCTATTTTTCTATTTCATTTATATCGAGCAGCGGATCGGTAGTGTAGGTTGTTTATTTTTTGTTTAATAAATATTAAAAGACTTTAGAAACTAAGGTGAGTTCAATAAGGATTATTCGATCATGGGAAGCGAGCCAAAAAAATTGTTTTTTGTTTGTGTTGCACTTTTTTTCTAGAAAAACTTGTTCATCATCATAATTATATTCTCCTTGCTGGAAAAAATTTTTTGCACTCCTTTCTGTGTTCTCCTGCCAGAAAAAAACTAATTTATTTTCATTCTCAGACTCTTTCCCGGCAAAAACCAGTCTATCATCATTCCTGCATCCTCATAGGCAGACGTATTTTTCTTGCTCACCTTCCTGAAAAAAAAGTATCTCTTCTTATTTCAGTCTTTTACGCAAAAAACACTTGTCTATCATCGTTCTTATTTTCTCAACATTGGAAGGAAATTTTTTTACTCTCATTGTTGCATTTTGTTTTAGAAAAAAAACTTATTTATTCTCGTTCTCAGACTGTTTTCCCGGAAAAAGCGTGTCTATCATCGTTCTTACATTCTCAATATTGGAAGAAATATTTTTTACTTTCCTTGTTACATTTTCTTTTTCAGAAAAAATTATTATTACTCTCGTACGAAAAAAAGGAAATTGTAAGTGTGGTATTATTTTCTGTCTTTTGGTGAATAGATGTTAACACCGAAGATGAACTCGAATACTTATCGATTCAATAGAGTTTATAACTAGTCGTGCTAGTAAGGATGAGCCAAACCATCTTGAGGGTGTGACTGTAAGTATTATATTTTTTGCAACTAACACCTACATCCACACCAGCCCACACCCTTGCCCATCTCTGCTATATTCTTTCAGTTTTATTAAACACATACTATATTATTTGACTTAAACTTCATTTTGATATATTTTATGTTTTCTCTTCTATTGTATAGATATTTTAAATAATTAGTTTTGAATTAATTCAACTCAATATGGATCGAAAACCAATATCTGTCGATAAGTATGGCAGTTATGGTGATAAATTACGTGTCAAATTAAGAAAACGAGTAGCAGATAAAAATTCAACTTTAAATACAGGAAAAATAATGAGTTCAATGGCAGATCAAACACTTATACCAAATGCAATACTATTTTCAAATGAGTTGTCTTTCAAAAATTCAGTAATCCAGACGAATACCAGTGAAGTGCAAATTCAATCTATAGGTATGATATTAGGATAGAATAGGAATTGTTTTATAATTCACATCAGTTTTCGAAATCTTCTTTCTATAACAAACAAACGAAATTATCATTTTGAGAGAATTTGATGAGGATATGATTGATTCCATTCAGAACTCTAAATAATTTTGCGTTCACTCAATGAAGTTATTAAAATAGTTAGTTTGATTAAGAATTATATATTAAATAACTTGTAACGAAGTATTTATTACACTGAGTCACTCACATAATAATTTAGTACCGACAGAAATACTTTTACCAAATTACCAAACGATGAAACGTCAATTTAAACCTGATCATACCATCAACAATTTTATTCTGTTTTGGTTTGATCCAACTATTGATATACAAAATAACAATAACGATCGTCTTTGTTTTGCTCGATTACGAAATATTGTTTATACAGTTATTATATTCAATGATACTGATCGATGTATCGATTATTTAACTGATATTCATGAAGAAAAAGTACTTCTCATTGCTAATGATGATTATAGTAAAGATTTAATACCTATGATTCATCATACATCTTCTCTTGATTCTGTCTATATAATTTGCAAAAAGCAGTTTAAAGATGAAAATTGGATAAAGAAATGGATCAAAATAAAAGGTATTTTTACAGATTTTTCATCTGTATGTAATGCTATTAGAAAAACTGTTAAACAATATTATGAAAATGAAATTTCTATTAGTTTTTGGCCAAAAAATGAGAATACATCAAATCAACTTGATAAATCATTTATGTATACAAAAATACTCAAAGAAATTTTATTATCGATTGATTTTGGTGAATTAGATATAAAAGATTATATTAAACCTGATCAACTAATGACTTTTGAGAAAGCTAATAAACCTCAAACGATCGATAATACCAAACAAAATTATGGTGATTATTCACCACTTTGGTGGTACTCGAAAGATCCTAAATTCTTTGATAATCTTAATTCTGCTTTGCGTAATATGGATATTAATACTATTGTTAAAATGGGTTTCTTTCTTACTGATCTTCATCGTTCTATTGCGCAATTACATAATGAACAGTTTGGTAAAAATGATTTTCAACAACCTTTTATTGTATATCGAGGTCAAAATTTATCAAAAACAGGTTTGCAAAACATGGTTAATTCAAAAAATGGACTTGTATCATTTAATAGTTTTTTATCAACTAGTATGGATCGTAATGTTTCTTTCGTGTTTGTCGAAGGTGCTTTACAAAACCCAAATATGATAGCAGTATTGTTTGTTATAACTATTGATTCATTTCATTCATCATTTCCATTTGCTGATATTCGTGAATTTAGTCAGTTTAGTATCGAAATGGAGGTATTATTCTCAATGAATACAATTTTTCGAATTGATAACATAGAAAAAATAGATAATAATGATCGTTTGTGGCAAATTAACTTGACATTAACAAATGATGATGATCCACAACTTCGTGATTTGACTTTTCGCATAAGAAAAGAAACTCAAGGTCCCACTGGATTGGATCGTCTTAGTCTACTCTATATTCGACTTGGTCAATTTAAAAATGCTAAAGAACTATGTGAAAAATTGCTTTATAAACAATTAAATTATGAACGAACTATATTTCTTTATCAACTTTTAGCAACAATAAACTTTTCTGATGGTAAATTTAAAGAATCATTTAGATATTATGAAAAAACTTTGCAAATATTACAGAATATTTTTCCTATAAATAATATTAATTTAGCTATTACTTATAATAATATTGGTTTAATATATGGAAAGATGGGTCAATATTCCAAAGCAATTTCTCATCATCAACAATCACTTGATATTTTTCAGAAAACATTGCCATTAAATAATATTCATTTTGCTGTTTGTTATAATTATCTTGGCGAAATTTATAATGAAACGGATGAACATTCAAAATCGCTTGAGTTTCACAAAAAGGCGTTGAACATTTTTCAAGATATTCTGTCTCCTAATCATCCAGATATTGCAGTATGTTACAATTATATTGCAAGATTGTATAACAATATGAAAAATTATCCAAATGCACTTTTATATTATCAGAAAGCACTTGAAATCTATGAGAAAAGTCTGTCTTCAGATCATCCTGATTTCGCCATTTATTACACTAATATCGCTATGGCTTATGAAAATACCAATGATTTTTCAACAGCACTTTTGTTTTATGAAAAAGCTGCTGTATTACTTCAACATAGACATCTTCCGAATCATCCTTGTTTTGCTGAAGCGAACGAACTTGTCGGAGCAGCTTATGACAAATTAGGTCAACACTCGAAAGCACTCGACTATTACGGCAAAGCGTGTAAAATTCGAGAGGAAACACGTTGTCCAGATCATCCTGACGGACGTCTGAGGTATTGCAACATTGGTGAAGTTATAGGTTTGCATGAATCTGACCGGAATGCATACGAAATGCCACCTAGAACTTGTGAATCACATGGTACTTATTTATTTTATGAATATGTTACAATAGCTTCAGTATATTCCAGATTAGGACTACATGAAAAAGCATTTACCTTTTATCAACAAACATTGAACATATGGAAAAAATTTCTTCCTAAAAAGTACACTATGCTGGGCTATTATTATACTAAGATCAGTTTGACATATTGGTATCAAGGTAAATATGAAGAAGCACTTTTATATCTAAAAAAGGCACATAATATTTATCACAAAATTGTTCCTCGAGATGATGCTAAAATAGCAGATTTATTTGGTAATATTGGATTAGTATATGAATGTATGAATAATATATCAGAAGCACTTGTATATTATGACAAAGCCCTTCAAGTTTATCGAGAAATTAATGTTGGTTGTTATAAATATATTAAAGAAATTTGCAATCATATTGGCGAAGTTTTTGAGGAGATGGGTGAATATAAGAGAGCAATTTCCTATTTCGAACAAGAACTTCATTGCAAGCAACGCAACAATGAAGACAACTATCGTTCACAAGCATTATCTTACGAGAAAATTGGTTTTATTTATAATAAAATTGACAAACATTCAAAAGCATTTTTATATCACTACGAAGCTCTAAAACTACAATTAAAATGGTATAGTCTTGAACAATCTCAGGTTGATTTATCGATTGATGATATTGATAAGACGGACGATAAAAATACTATAGCATATTATTCTCTATTAGCTAGTAATTACAACAAAATTGGTATGGAGTATACTAAAATAAAAGCTCTTACTAAAGCTATTTTATATCATGAACAAGCACTCAATATTATACTAACAAATCTACCATCAAATCATTCCATTCTCATTGATTGCTATGAACATCTAGGTGAATTACATGATTTAATGAATGATTATTCAAAATCATTTGTCTATTTCAAAAAAGCACTTGATGCTCAACAACAAGTTCGTTCTATAGATTATTCAAAAATTGCAATATATTTTAATAAGATTGGTTGTCTAAATTACAAAATGGGTCAAATTTCAGAAGCAATTTCATATCATGAGAAAGCGCTTAGTATCTTACAAAATAATCTTCCTCAAAATCATGAAGCAATTACTGTATGTTATAATTATATTGGAGATATATATACATATAGTAGAGAATACTCAAAAGCTCTTTCGTATTTTGAAAACGTATTAAATACGAAAAAAAAGTATCTTCCTTATGATCACCATGAAATTGAAATTATTCATTACAAAATCGGATCAGTAAATAATTATATTCATCATTA